AAAAAACAATATTACATAGCTTAGTTTTGCAGTAATTTAGTAAATGGGGTTTCCTTATTTATCCAAATTAGTGATTTTTTTTCCTCATATGTGTAAGTTATAATTCAGAGTATTATCAGTTAAGATACAGTCCCTGATACCTGTCACTATATAAAGCTTAAGCTGGGCATAGTGGTATATACCAGGCAACTTGTCAATGTCCTGCAGAAATCAAGATATATTAAGCCTTCAAGATTCACTTAATTTCCTATACTTGTAATTTTGGAAATTTAATAATACTCCTCAAGAGAGATATTTTAAGCTGGGTGCCATGAAGCATGCTTGTAATTCCAGCCACTCAGCAGGTTAAAGCATGAGGAATTCAAGTTCAAGGCCAGCCTAGACAACTTAGTAAGACCTTATATCAAATAAAAAAATAAAAAAGACTCAGGATATAGCTCAGAGGTAGAGCACTTGCCTAGCATGTAAGAGACCCTTGGGTTCAATCGTCAGTACACAGGAAAAAAAAAGATTTTAGACAGAAATTTTATCAATTTCCAATATTTTATTACAGTATCTAAATATTTATTGCTTCCTTTTACCTAATTTCTTTTAGGATAAAAGCAAAGAAATCAAGATCTAAGAAAAATTGTCATTATCTTATGAAAAATGTTTTCATGAAACAAACTCTCAAGAGCATTCTAGAAATAAAAGAAATATATGTCAAGTGAGATGGTACAATGTGGTCAGTGGACATTTCTGGCCATAGCAATATACAAGGCGAAAGTCCAAAACCAACACAACACTAAAACATCACTTTTTAAAATATTTTTTTAGATACATGGACACAATATTTTTGTTTATTTTTATGTAGTCCTGAGGATTGAACCCACTGCCTCACATGTGCGAGGCAAGCGCTCTGTCACTGAGCCACAACTCCAATCCAAAAGACATCACTTTTTTAATGGTAATGATTTTCATAAAGGAGAGAAAGGGATAGCAGAATCACCCAGGAAGCTTTTGGGGAAAAAGTACAATTGTACTCTCAAGTATTTCCTGCATATCCTTCTCCAGTACAGCTGCATGACCCAATTTTGTTTAGAATAAACAAGCAAATAACTCAAACCCATTGAGAGATCTACATACTTTATTATCAGTCTTAAAAGGTTGTGTGATCAGGGCTGTGGTTGTGGCTCAGTAGTACAGCACATGCCTAGCACATGTGAAGCACTGGGTTCCATCCTCAGCACCACAAAAATACATAAATAAATAAATAAAAATAGATGTTGCTAGATCCATCTACAGCTAAAAAAGGGGGACGGGTGTGATCAGGGGTACAAAACCTCATTATGCTATATTTAAGTCCATCTTTAAGTGGAACCAATTTTACACATACCAGACATTTGTTAAATGTTTACTGTCTCCTAAATGGCTCATGTTTTACCACTGTTTTTGTATACTATAAACCTCTAGAGACAATCTCTTGGTTTAATATTTTAAACTCAGTGCCTTGAGAAAGACTTACCAATTTAAGCCAGAGATTGAGAAATCGAGGATCACTATAGTAACGTTTTTCTCCTTGTAGTGCTTCTACAGCTCTTTCTAATAATGTTGACATGTTACTCTCCTTCCCACCTTGAGGATAGTTTTGTTCTGTCCAATTAATATACCTGAATAGAAAGAAAAGGAAAAGAACATTTAAAAAAAAAATGTAGTTGTAGATGGACAACATGCCTTTATTTTGTTTCTTTTTTTTAATGTGGTGATAAGAACCCAGTGCCTCACATGTGCTAGGCAAGTGCACTGCCACTGAACTACAGCCTCAGCCCCATTGAAAAGAACATATTTCAAGTTGAATGTATACTTTTGTTCTGGCTCCAATACTAATTCTTGATTTTTTTTTAAGCAAAAATATCTAAAATGTTGAAGGTATGTTTCTTGAGAGATCCTCAAAGGCACATCCTAAGACTACAATTCCCCAAGTATCCCTAATATGTGCTTCTGGGAAATACTGGGGATAGGGACAGAAAGGTATAGCTCAAAGTTGCATACCTTAAATTGTACATTTCTTCAATATTAAGGGGAACTGGGAGGGTAGCTCAGTGGTAGAGCACTTGCCTAATGTGTGAAGTCCTGGGTTCTATCCCCATCACCAATAAACAAAAACCCTCAGGAAGACACACTATGACTATTCTGGGTCTCTGTGCCCCCATACCACTTTCTATTCTGACTATTCACTTTCCATTCCTTATACCCCAATTTTAGAAATATAGTCATAAGAACTTCATCTAATATTTCTGTCACCTTTTTTAAAAATAAAAGCACCTACCTATCCCAAACATCCAGAGGGTCATTTCCAGCATAAAATCGAATTTCAGATTCAAATGCCCTGAAATTTAAGCAAAACATGTTAACACGTGTAATATACATAACAGACAATTAACAAGTGTTGCTTCCATGATCTAGATAACTGTACTAGAATATGAGGGTTTGTTAAACAGAAAGAATAGAAATAATAAAGATGATGACAGGCACAGTGACACACACCTTTAATCCCAGAGACTCTGGAGGCTGAGGCACAAGGAATGTAAACTCCATGCCAGTCTCAGCAATTTAGTGAGACCCTATCTCTATATAATAAAAAAACTTTTAAAAAGAGCTGGAGATGTATGTAGTTCAGTAGTTAAATCAGCAGTCCCTGGGTTCAATCATCAATACCACAAAAAAACAAATCAGAAATTCCCCAAAGTGATCTATGGATTTAAGAAAATCTAGCAAAATCTTAGCAGACTCTTTACTAGAAATTAACAAAATAATTTTAAAATTTGTTAGGAAAAAGCTACACTTGTAATCCCAATGATTTTAGAGACTGAGGCAGGAGAAGCACAAGTTTGAGACCTACCTGGGCTAAAACTTGGTGAAATAGAACAGTCTCAAAATAAATAAGGGGCGGGGGGGGGCAGGGCCCGGGGGGCTATTGATTAGCACAGTAGGAAAGCATCCCTGGGTTCAATCCCCAGTGCTTCAATAAATAAATAAACAGATACATACATAAATAACATTTGTCAAAAGCTACAAAGTCAACATCAATGCAACATAACAGAGTCCAGAAACAACCCACACATATGTGGTCAATATGTTTTTTTCCCCCAAGTACTGGGGATTGAACTCAGGGACTTGTACATAACTAGGCAAGTACTCCATCACTGAGCTATATCCTCAATCCTCAAATGATTTTTAAAATTTTTTTAGTTGTAAATGAACACAATACATTTATTTATTTATTCACTTACTTACTTACTTACTTATTTATTTATATGTGGTGCTGAGGATTAAACCCAGTGCTTCACACATGCTAGGCAAAGAGCTCTACCACTGAGCCACAACCTCAGCCCCAGTCAAATGATTTTTGACAAGGTCCCCAAAGCAATTCAATAAGGGAAAAAAACTTTCTTTAACAAATGGAGGTAGAACAACCAGACAGCTTCCATATCAGGATAAAAACCTTTTACTCCAACATATACCATACACAGGGATAAATTTAGCATGAATCATACAATTAAACATAAAAGTTAAGACAATGAAATAAGGCTAATAATTATGACTTTGAAGGAGAAAAACATAACAGGACACAAAAAGCACTAGCCCATAAAAAACACGAATTGAACTTCATCAAAATTAAAAATTTTGTGGTTAAAAAATGAACAGAAAATTTAGAACTAGGAAAAAACAACTGCAGCACATATTTGATAAAGGACTTATATAGAGTACATAAAGAACTCCATTACTCAGGAGGCTGAGGCAAGAAAGTTTGAGGCAGTCCTCTGCAACTTAGACACTGATTCAAAATAAAAAATATAAAAGACTGGAAATGTAGCTCAGTGGGAGAGCCCCCCTTGGTTCAATCTCTAGTGACTCTCTCATAAATTAATAATTTAAAAACTGGGCAAAATGTCTGAACAGATGGTGAACAGACTCACTAACACTAATCACCAGGGAAATGCAAAGTATAGCCATAGTGAAATACTACACATCACTATGATGGCTAAAATGAAAGACTGATAACACCAAATACTGTCTAGGGATGTAGCTCAATGGTACATGCCACTGGGTTTAATCCCCAATTCAAATAAATAAATAAATAAAAATCTGAGCATTTTACTGCATGTACATTATACTTAAAAGAAATCTCCAGAGGGCTGGGATTGTGGCTCAGTGGTAGAGTGCTTACCTGGCATATGTAAGGCACTAGGTTCAATTCTCAGTACCAATACAAATAAATAAAATTTTAAAATGTCATCAACAAGTAATAAAAACATTTTTAAAAAAAAGAAAGAAAGAAAGAAATCTCCAGGACTGGGGATATATAGCTCAGTTGTTAGAGTGCTTGCCTCATATGCACAAGGCCCCGGTTCAATCCCACCACACAAAAAAAGCACCACATAAAAAAAAGAAATCTCCAGCGGGGCACAGTGGTGCAAGCCTATAATCCCAGTGGCTTGGTTTGGGAGGCTGAGGCAAGAGGA